AAGTGCTACAAAAGAAAGGAAACGATGCGACCCAAAACACCTTATATTATTGGGGGAATAATTTAATGGACAGGTGTGATTATAAGCTAGCGTAAACAACAAACATGTATATGCGTCTTTTTTCATAAAACGTTGGTCCAACTGAAAAACTCTGAACCACAAAGTGTCTATCTTTCAGATAATCTTTTATTGTCTTCGCAAAGGCTTTAACTTTTTGTGTAGCTTTTTGAAAGACATGATTTTAACTGAAAGGAAGATAAGGTGGCTGATCCACTGCACAACTGCCTTTCACACAGAGCTGTTTACAAATGAAATTTCTATTGAGACAACCATTTCTGGTCCCTCTGGATTCAGCCCAATAACCCTTGTTGTTCTCTCCTGAGGATTTAACTTTCTTTTCAAAAATAATCAATGAAGTAGTCATAACTCGCCAGAGTAAAATCTGCTACTTTAAGCTAAACAAGTATTTTGGTAGAGTTTTACTCGGTGGATTGGGACAGAGAGTTAGAAAGTAAAAAAGAAAAGGAAGTAATCGCTGGTACAAGGCGTTTATCCGACTGACGGTTCGAGAAACAGAAATTCTTTTTTGGCTCTGATCACGCTTCAATTATGGAATAAGCCGTTGATCCGAGGCACCTACTGGCGATGCGGTTAAAGATCATTGTGAGAATAGCAAGTCCTGTAAAGATAACGGAGAATTGAGTCCTCATTTCCGCCCTATTAGTCGTCATCAGCCGGCCATACTATTCTGCTTATTATAAAAGCGGCCGTATGGCTGCCGCCGAGACTCAAGACTAAGACTCAAGGCACAACGAAACGAGTATGTCCCGCACCGCAACCAGTGAGCGCCCGCCTACCGGTGCAAACAGACATTTCCCAGAGGGCGGGCTAGTCCACGGTGCTTTGCGATAATGCGCCGGGCCAATTGACCTACAGCACTAATTAACGTCCATGACTAAAGGAAATCAAATTTACGAGACTTCCGACATGTAGGTTAAAAGGTGAAACGGTCTTCTCATACGGTCAGCATGAGGACCTGACGAAGAATGATCACCAACAGTTTTTTTTGTCAATAGGTCTTCTGTAAGCGCACTAAATAGGTGCGTAGGGATCGCTTTATCCCTCCCGGCCCCAGAGTAGCGAATAGGAACGCCCCGTAATAAGAGTGGTTGTGATTTCTTTGGCAATAATGCTCTGCTGTGATGTGTGCCTAAAGTTTAAAGTCTCAAAATAGGAATTTGCCTCAGTCGCTGCCCATACACTCATTATCGTGACTTAAGGCAGTGGTCCGGGGTCCGTTGGGTGCTCAAAGTCTAACGAGTTTTAAGCAGTGGGTGGGGGAAGGAGGTAGCAATTTCTAGCAAGGATGGCGAATGTAGCCTCAAATCAAAAATGCGACAAAACAGCTCCCGTACTCGGAGGAGGATATAGTATGGGTTTTATGATTGAAGATAACAAAATCTGCGTAGGCAATGGAGAGCAAGTCGCATTTGCATTCTTTTTTGGTTTTATTACCCAACCGAATTGCCGAAGTAAGACTCCGCAAATTGAATGATTCGGAATAACAGCGCGTTAATTGGCGAAAAAATATACGCTGCAACCATTGGTTAAATATGACCAGTTAATCCTAAACATAACCCTTTACGAAATCTTAACCCTAACATAAAATGTCTACACTACTGAAATAAGTAAATTTATGGTGGGGCATACGGCGGTGGCGGCCGCAGGTAAGGAAATCTGCGGATGCTATGGAGAACAAATCGCATTGGTGTCTTATACTGTTTTTATTACTTCAACACGTGCCGAAAAAAGACCGCGCAAATTGAAAGGTTCGGAGTAAGAGCG